GTTTGATATTTTTCAAACAAATATTTTAACCCTGATACATACATGTATCCAACAACCCAACACTTTTCATATGTGAATTAGCAGTACAATTTTGACTAAAAATGGTCATTGCACGGTACTTTTGCAACATACGATACTTGGTATCATAGCAAAGAAAGTATAGAGTGTGTGTGTTATCTTTTCATTTCTAAGTAGATGTGGTTTAGAAAGGCACCTGCTCGTTTGCTTGATGCTTTTTTTACTGCTGAATTATATTAATGTACTGTTATAAGAAGTATTATTAATCATTCCTTGGTGTTATACTAGCAAATAGTTTTCGATCAACTTAATTTTATCAGTATAGATTTAAAAATAGCAACATTTTTTGGTTGTTGGCCATTTATGGATACAAAACTGGCATTTTCAATGTTAAGATTATATTGCTAATACGTATTTTTTTAATTTTTTTTTTTAATTGGCAGGGGATGTAGCTCAGATGGTAGAGCGCTCGCTTAGCATGTGAGAGGTACGGGGATCGATGCCCCGCATCTCCAACAAAACTGTTTTTTCTTCACAACCAACAAACAAGAACTGATTTTTATTTTTTTTTTATACGATTTGGGTACCTTTTTATTTTAATTTAATTAATAACTTATACCCTTTAGCTTAATGGCTTAAGAGTCAAATCGAGTTAAAATTTGTTAAAAATGGAAAATTTTAAGCTTAAAACGTAATAGAAAAGTTATCGCATTATTCATTGTCATTTATATAATTGACCCATTTCAAATTTTGAGCTGGTCATAAATAATAAAAATAATTAAATCAAATAGCAACAGAAAGAGAGAGAGAGTGAGAGAGAGAAAAAGAAACACAGACAATTAACAGAAATTTCTTACTATTAATTTGGCTAAAATTGTTGTCTCAACAAAATTACCAATTACAGTAAATGTTTTTATCTACTAAGCAATTCTAAGCAAATGCAATAAAATTAATGGCAAAGTTTTGTTTTGCCACAACTCAGCCACTTGATATACATACATTTATATGTACATATATAAAAATACATAAACAATTTTTTTCTTATTCGACTACATACGTACATACATATGTATTTGAATAAATTGAAACATTTTCAAAAATACACAACTACTGAAGTTACTAAAGTTGTGGCAAGCAGCTTCTTGACGCTGTTATAAATCAAAATGTATTCGTTAAACCATAAAGATTTATGTGGTGCTAAATATAAAACTTTATCATCACATCACTCGTGTATTCTCTTTTATTTAATTCTGTGTTGATTTTTTTTCAACGACTTTAAATATTTTGATGTTTTAGGTATTAAAACTGCATTTTTTTGCAAAGTGAAGTGAAATGATGGTAAAACTACAATATCTTTTAATAATTTTAGTTAAATTTGTAACTAAATGTAATTTTATAAATTTTGCAAAAGAATTGAGTTATAATCATAATATTTGAAATGAAAAAAAACTTAATTTGAGAGGGAAATAAAGGACAAAGTGGAAATAAAAAAATCTACTACATATAATAAAATAATTATTTTCTTATATGAACTATTACTCAAATTTCCGTACATTATTTTCGCAGATGTGTGAGAACGCTTGAAATGGATTATCTCCGTACATTGTAACAGTTTTCGTCTTGCAATTAAAAGCAAATTATTTAAAATTTTTGTTTAAAAGATAGAAACTTTGGCTTTGTTCATCACAATTTTCTAAACTGTTGGTTGGCATGCGAAATATTAATTTTCTAGCTTCATCGAGTTTCATACATTGGGTGAAAGGGGCTTAAATGCCATGGTAATAATGTTAAATACAAGCTTCCTTTTCTATAAGCCAAATTAAGGCTGCACTACATCCTGAGTCGATTCTGACTTTTCTGGGGTTTGTTTTGAGCCAAATAAAAAGGAAAAAGTCTGTAAAAAGAGCATGTCTTAGAGTTCTCTTTGCTTAGCCAATAAATAGGGGGTACGAATTTTGCGCCTTAAACAAATAATAAGTACCAAATTATTGAATATCGCCGAAAAATCCTACATTCACAAATTTTCCATACACTTTTGCTCTTTGGCATTTAAACAAAATAGCAATAGATGCCTCGTATTATTCATATACATATTTTCTGGTAAAAGTACTAACTGTAGGCAGAATTCACATATTGTACACCTACTTACATATGTATGTATATATATTGTATATGAACGTTCAATTTTACGCTAAAATTTAACAGAGCTAAACTTTAATTGTTATGTCAAGCTCAAATACTTCAAGTTTATGTACGTTTGCAGTAGCAACAACTTTTGAATCAACCTTTTCAAGCATATAGAAGAATTATTCTTAACTCTCCCACATAAATTAAATCCCACTTAACAGGAATACAAAGCAAACGCTTCCATGTATTATTGAAACCCTCCTTCCACTAAACTCATTTTCAAAATGTTTAATGTTCTTTTCAAAAATCAACATCGAAACGAAGATTTTGCACTCGACAAAAAAATTCTAATAACAAAAATAGCTACAATACTCCAAGTCCTAAATAAACAGAAAACATTAAAACTGCTAAAGAAAAAGGATGTGCAGACAGAAAACAATTTGATTTTAATTGAAAAATAGCATAAATATGCGAAATATGCTCAAATGTAAAAAAAAAAAAAATAATAATAAGAATAATATATAAAGAGCAGAAAAATAATTTAGAATGATGTTTGTTTGTCTGAAGCTTGGAACAATTATAGTCTGTATCAATTTTATGTCTTCTTTTTTCCCGAACGAACTTGAACAAACGCATTTTATTAATTGTTTAAAAATTTTACAGCATATGTCAACAAAATATTTACCCATTAAAATGAAGGAACATTTTAACATAAATATTGTTCCCTCTTAACAAAGAAACTTTAAAATCCCTACAGTCATTTCATTATCTTTTATTCTTACCTTCGTGAAGAGGCATACACCCGAAGAAATTTTACGGGAAATATTTGTTCAAAAGCAAAAGAATATGCTTGAGATATTTTTCTCAAAGCATCTCAAAAACATTTGTGTTTTCAAATGTAACGGATATAAAATATCAGTTTGTTTCAGATTATTTTTTTTATTTTGCATTTAGAGGCTATTTTGAAATTTGACTACTGATAGCTTAATAAACGTTGTATAACATTTTGAATAAGACCATTATAGTATAATAAATATATAAATGGTACTTAGAAAAAGATGGCTGGTTAAAAAGAATTTTTAGTTCTTTATTATTTTTATGTTTATAAATGTTTGTATTTATTTATGGTGCTCTTTCAAATCAAAATAGTTTGATTTACAAAATTTTATTGAGTGTAGCTCAAGAATAACATTAGCTCAAGTATCCTTTTTTACATCTTTATCCTTTTGAGTTGCTCCTTTTGTTTTAATGGCAAAACATTTGATTGCAAAGCAAAGAAGAATTAAAAAGAAAAAGTTGCTTCGGTAAGCACTTGCAAAACAAAAGTTTTAATGCTTATTTTTCCCCTGTTTTACAGTTTTCTTTATTTTTTTTTTTTTGCACTTTGAATTTTGTTTTTCTTTGCAGCACACTTTGTTGTTATTGTTGTTTTTCTAATGTTGTTCCACGGAGTAGTTAGTGTTTTTCTAAACTTTCCCTTAAGTGCTGGCAACAGCAGCTGGAGTACCAGTGTGAGCGAGGAAACACAGCAAATAAAAAAAAAATAATAATAATAAATACCATTTCTATACTGTTTGAGGAATCATTATAATTTCGGTTGTTGTTTTGTTTTCATTTTATTTTGTTGTTTTTCTTTGTTAATGGTTTTAAGAGGGTTAAACGCAATCAGCAAAATCTAATTACATTAATATAAATTTGTTTTGATGACCAAAACAAAATTAAATACAAGAAAGATCAAAATATGAAAGTACTTGTTTGCTCTCGCTCATTGTGTCATCTAAAAGATTAAGGATTAAGTGGAAATTACTTAGAAATTATTGGAGTTTTTACTTTTTGCTTAATTCAAATATATGCATACTCCTTTGGTTTTTTTGTTTGTTTGTTTGTTTAATTTGCAAACATTTATAAAATTTTTAACTAAATTCATATATTTGAACATTCAACACTACACTTTGTTTCCATGGCCGTTTACCATATGTTTCCGTGGTGTAGTGGTTCTCATACCCGCCTAAGACGTAAAACCCCGGTCGGAAACGTGCAGGTTATAATTATTGCTCTACTATTGCCGACATTGCCACTTTCTGTGGAACAGTGTACAATCTTTACTATTTGCGGCTTAAGTTTTTCTGTAAAATTTTGTACTTTTTCACTATACGTACATAGTAGAACTGAAGCAATCGGACAAAAATGCATGCAGAAGCTATTCACAAAACTTTTGTAAGGTTTATAGAAATCTGTTTACCATCAACTTAATAAAACTTGTATAACTTTTTAAATAAGAACATTTATAATTAGTTAGGTTAGATAAGATTCAATGCTCGGTAATATTTTTGAGAAACTTTTTCGATACATCGCCTTCTAATAATATTACGTCAAAAATTTGAAGTGATCAACGGTGATGATATTTCCATCAATAATGGCATTCATATGATCTGTCATATATAAAGTAATATTTTTTTTAGGAAACTTTTCGATGCATCGCCTTTCTAATAATATTACGTCAAAAATTTGAAATGATCAACGGTGATGATATTTCCATCAATAATGGCATTCATATGATCTGTCATATATAAAATATATGAATATCTATTGGTAAACCAAAGGTTTTACCCGACCATATGTATCTTAAAGGCATTAAACATTTTGATTAGCCGTATGAGCGTTGACCAGGAGTAGGATAAAAAAAATAATTTGTTGATTTATCAAATGTTTACCCTTTTCGTTTATATTGGCATAATATATTCTTTAAAAATAATGATGGTACTCAAACTAAATTGTTCCCAAATATCTGTAAATTCCCATTGATAGTTTCCGTGCTGTAGTGCTTATCACATCCGCCTACCACGTGGAATGCCTCCGGTTCGATCCCGGACGGGAACAAATATCTTCTTTTATCCTCCAGTTTTGTTTCTTTTTATAAAAGAATAAAGCAGTAGAGTTGCACTTAAGCTATGATAAAACCTTTTAATTCAACAAAGAAAAATTTTATATATCTAACGATATTTTTGTAATCAAATAAAAGTTAGTGGTTAAAAATAGAATTATCAATATTTTTAATCCAAAAATACTCTGCAATTACATACATATGCAAGAAATGCGAAATGTAAATGTCATATTTCATGCCATTGGCTTGGAGTTTTCTGTCTGAAATTCTTCTGGTTGTCACAGGTTTCAGCGATGTCATAAAACACAATATACATATGCATACACGCACATAAAATTGTGTCGTTGTTATTCAAAACATTTTACTTTCAAAAAGAAAATATTATTAAAATAAAATAACAATTGTAGTGTATAACAATTTTCCTTTTAATTTTTTTTTTAAATATGGTAAAACTATAGTTTTGATCAACAATAACTATGTGTATGAAAGGATAATGTGTGTATGTTTCCATAAAGAGCCGCTATCAGGCTATACGCAGGATATAGAATAACTTCATGCTTGTTTCGGCCATTCAATACAAAATTTATTTAGCTGTAATAATTTATTTGACCACAAAACATTAATTTTTCGTTTGTTTTATGTTTTACTTTTGAAATTTGTTAATGCATTAACAAATGATAATTTTCGCATTTTTATTCAAGCGTATGAACAGATTAGCCTTAACTAAATAAAAGATAAAGGCCATAAAGAAGTGTAACCGTATCCTAAAATCAACTTAATATTTTATACATTTGTTTTTGAGGCAGTAAGCAGAAAAAATGAAAAGAAACCACAACCAAAATCTAATAATTTTAACGCAAATAATAAACTCGCATTTACAAATAATTCCACAATTTGTAAGACAAACTGTAAAACTAACAAGTTAAGAGCAATAAAGCCGATAAAATAGACCCTTTTCGGTATTGCTGGTTGGCTATGGCTGCCTGACTCAACTCTGTTTAAATACCAAAGAGACCAGTATTCAGTTAGCGAAACGATGAAAAAATGAATAAAATAAAACGATGATTACGCTGATAATGATACAAAACATGTTTGAGCATATAAAATGCCAGTTAAGAAATAAATAAAATTAAAACCCCTTTTTTACTTTTATTAGCTTTTAACAATCATCAGTAGATGTATTAGATTCATTGCAGACATACTCCAGCACGAAAACAACACAAAAGGATGCTGGTCAGTTACCACAGTTTTGAGCCATTCGTTTGTTCGTTTATTTGGCTCATGTGTTTTGTTTGCAAGCAGATCCTGTTTCGTGTTTCCTCAAATATGTATCTACAAATACTTACAAACCTTGAATTCTTTATTATTTGCTACCAAGCATGCATGTATTCTGTTGGCATTTGGCCATGTATTTGTAGAGCAACTCTCCCTGCCTCCCATTGTATTTTCGGACGACTGTCACTGACAACAATACAACTCCCTCGGGTGCTATCACAGCCAATTAGGAGTTTATATATAAAACAGTTCTTAGTTATGCAAATGTTATGGATTTCTTATTGTTTTCTTATTTTGTTGGATGTTTCACTTGTTTGAATGGAAAATGTTTAGTTGGTGGCAGACATTAGCTTGATTGTTAAGGTACCATTTAAAGTTATTTCTAATCGTTTACATTATCTTTGACTACATTTCAACCTTTTAAAATGAAATTAAAGGACGATTATTTTAAAAGATATAACGATAACTGTTGATAATACTTTAGTTGTTTTAAATAATTCTTTGATTCGAGCTATGTATGTAGGTCAATTAAAGGATTCTACGATGAACATATGGGTTTTTCTGGTGTAAGAAGCCGGTATAAGTTTCCGGGGTGTAGTGGTTATTAAATCCACCTAACACGCGGAAGGCCGCCAGTTCTTTCTCGGGCGAAAACACATCCACTTATTCGCCATTTTTTTTATATCTCATTATATTCATAGAATTCTTTGCATGCACCATGAACATCTCACTGGGGAGCAGATTAAGACTTAATTTGCAAATTTTAACTGCTTGATTTTCTGTTTCTTGTGGTAGAGATACATTCGCAGGAACCATGGATATTTGGAGAAAGTATCCCGAAGGAATGTTATTGGTGCTATAACATCACCATGGTTGATCTCATAAGAGTTGGTGGTTTAGCTGTCAACTACATCATGATTTTTCGAGGCTGCAGCCTGCTTTCGTTGGAGGAAACATCAGATGGGATAGTTAAAGGCCTGATGGTTTCCTTTTCTTTCGAGCTACCATCGATTGGTGCTTGATTTTTCTGGCTATTAAATGAACTTCGTTCAAAGTGATATTAGTCCAGTATTCAGCAAGTTTCTTGCCCCACCTGCCTTCGAAATTGAAATACACATGTATCGTAAATTTTTCCTCTCTTTGCTTCGGTAAGAGAAAAAGTGACCAATGCGGTTGAATACCTAGTTCCAATCCTAAAAGGAACATTGGCACACGAAATACTGTATATGCTCCAGCCGTTGTTTGGGGAGCCTATTGGTGTGGAAACGCTTGCATGCAGAAAAATATGTAGGTTAGTTTTAGTGATGGAAGTTAGGATCTCGTTTTCAAGGGTCCCAGATGCCCTTCGAGGTGTAGACTTCTGTTTTAGTTGGCGACTCTTTATTGTAATTTGTTGCTTGGATGACATTTTCGGAAATGATTAATGCAAACTAAATATGTATAGACCGAAAGTAAACTAAAGATGTAGAGGTTGAGTGGTATAAGTATTCTGGCGAAGCTCGAAACAATTAATTAACAATTAAAAATGTTCAAGAATTAATGATAATGGAAAAGCATCGAATTACAAACAACGAATTTGGATGTTAAGCATTATTATCAATTGGTAAGCGCTGGATTCAATGTTTGCAACTAATTTAAAATAATTCCACATTTCGTTTAAAATTGCTTTTTCTTCTGTGTACTGAAGGAACCGAATTTATTGAAAGTCACAGTTTGGCAGTTGTAAGAAGTATCTTTATTAAGTTAAATTCAAACCGACAATATTTTCTTAGCTATACCAGCCCATAGTATATACATATATTAAATTCCAGTTCATAATATTTTAGTTGTTTGGGCACACCATTTTCATTATTTACATACATATATACGATTGATTAATACAATCAACTTTAAAATCCCTGAATCATATATTTATTGTGCAATTGTGCTAATG